CCCAGCGCGGCTCTGCCATTAGCCCTCTTATGACCATGATCCCTCCTGTTTGAAGTCATAATAGCATCTACACCCCTGCCAATGACAGAGAGTGAAAAAGTGAGAGAATGTGGTGATTGCAGTGTATGTGGTGGACACAGCCTCCATGCCCACATGCCCTGACCACAACACATGTGCACACATTCTTCCGGAGTACAGTGACTGTCCATACACACTCCTGTGACATCTATCTGTGCTCAGTCCACTGCCAGCACTGAGCTTGTCATGCTTACAGTCCTCCAAGCAAGGGAGTCAAGTCCACTGCATGTAGTTATACCTACAAGTAACTATCTAGGTGGCTCCAGTACCTGCCACCTTCTCTAGTTGACACCACTGTTTCTTCTATTGTATTTCTTATTTATCCTGACAGAAAAACTTAAGTCTGGGTTAAGATTGGTTAGAGGAGGATTTCAGATTTCTTTCTGGTCACAAGTCACATATGTTTTCTCCCCATCTCTCTCTTCCTGTCTGGTTTCTTCCAACCTTTTAATAAACAGAGACTGGCCAACTCCAAAGCACACACATCACGATTCATCAGCGCCAACTTACCCTGCAACAAGTTCAAGAACCGCCTGGTCAACATCATGCCTTTTGAGTCCACCCGTGTCTGCCTGCAGCCCATCCGTGGCGTCGAGGGCTCTGACTACATCAACGCCAGCTGCATTGATGGCTACAGGTCAGCAGACTTCACCTTCAAGATTTGAGCTGAATACAGTGGCTTTGGGGTAGAAGTGCTGAATTTCAGCTTTTAAGGACAAGGCTGGCATCATTCTACATTTTTATTGTCAACAAATCCCCCAAAAAACAAGAAGTCAACAATGCATGCGCTTTCCAGCCTCACTACACCTGCCACACTACCTTTGGATTTCAGTCCCAAACCCATTTCTTCCTAATGAAGATGTTAGTTGCAAAAAGCGGCTCCCAAATATATAGTTTAATGTTTTTTAATGGGTTCACCAATGTGTTTACACAGCTGGGCACTATAGCTTTTATCAGACATTACACAAACAGGAGTAAATGATGCAATTGCTGGGGACTATTTTCAAGTGCAGATAGTGAGTGTTTACTGCAGCAGGACATGGTGCCTATGTGGGATCGGCATAAAATAAACTTCAGTGTGTGTTTGTTCATGATAATGAAAGAACATGTCACCCAGTGCAACAACATGGCTCACTGATGTGTTTTTAATAGTTTCTGGACATCAGAGGAGTTTTATAGCACTGAGGAAGAAGATACGTCAGGCTTTGTCTACAGAGGCAGTGCTTGTTAGTGGGATCAATTTATTGTTGGTTTTGGTCTTTTCCTAAGAAAATACAGAATAACAAAAGCTTCATCCTTTAAGGATGTTTGAGGTTGTTCACATCCATTTTGCAGCAACAGTCAAGGAATTGTAGCCCTTTTTTATACACAGATTTATACAGTTTCCCAGTTTTATAATAACATTCATACAGTGAAATAGTAAATCATTGCAAAAAACCTGCCAAAATAAGCAAAGATTGAAGATGACTGCTGTACAGACCTGGCAGAGTCATGGACTTCAGACAGACGTAAATTACTCTGTCTCCTAAAATAGGGAGCTTATAGAGAAAAGGGAGCTATAATCCTACAAGGTCCCTCTGATGCCAATATACACATCCTTAAGTTAAATCTGAGATGTAGCATAACCTCATAGTCATCATTTTATTTCAAATCTACTGTCCTGGCGTACAGAGCCAACATGCTAGACATCGTATCAGTGTCCTGAAAACACTGTGTGTGACAGATCTGCTGTTGTTTTCTGACATCAGAGATTGTTACAGGTGAGAAAAATATAGTACTGTAGGTATTCACATTGGACTAGATAAAAATGTATGGGAGGGAACTTACGATGAGACCACAGTGGGCAGTATCCAGTTGCAAGAATTACTCCCAGCTCTGTCTGTGGCTCTCATCAGCTGAGCTACTACCACTTTTATACTGAAGCTACTACTTGTCCTTGTGTGCTCTGTGAGTTCAAATTGCTTCCTAGTGGGAGGAAGATGAAAAGGCAGCTCTGTGTTTTATATCTATATAAGTCTGGGCAGAGACAGACAGGCCTGATTGACTTCAGCCAGTAAGTGTACGGCGAGGGGAAGGATTTAGCAAGCGTGAAATGCCATTCAGTCCATATGGGTTTCTGCTTCATACCGGCCATGACAGAGACAACGCCTCTGCTTCCACCTTCCCAGCTTCCCCCCTTTCTCCAGTCATGTTGTTAATGAGAAGGCGCTCTGCAGAGGCCAACCCTTCATTGTTGCTATGTAAATAGTGTAATTGCAGCAGTAGAGATTGTAATGAAGTGTTTTCCGACCCCTCCCTCTCTTTATCCTTTTTCGTCTCTATGTTCTCTGCTTAGCCCGTTTTCCCTTTTCTTTCCTTTTTTATCTTTAGTCCTTTCTGTCTCTGTCTCTCTATTTCCTCCCTTAATCTGTCTCCTTCCCACCTCTTTCCTAACTCTTTCTCCTCCCACCTTCTTCTCTTACTCACCATCTTAATTTTTCATCCAAACATCGTGGCACAGACAGACATATCCGGGTGGGGACCTGTTGTGTGCACTGGCAGCGCTGTGTAATTAAGCCACTTTTAAAGCCCAGGCATAAATTAAAACTAAATAGGGGCCTCCAGTGCCCTTCACCCCAACGCCTTCAAGAAAAGCCAATAATATGCTAAGCTAATGAGAGGCGAACCATTGATTCCAGCTATACTATCAAGGGCTTGAGCCTTGGATATGCTTCGATGCAGGCTGGAGTTTTAGCATTGTAATGAGGTTGAAATGAAACACTATGTCCTCAAGCACTGCAGTCATGTGGGATGCTGCAGAGAGTGCTTTGTGCCGTTTGGCAGCGCACTCATCGGGACACTGTGCAGAGAACTCAGTATTGTGTGATACGTTTAGAATTGTTTTTGTTTTGGCTAGGGGCCGTTTTATGGGAGGTTAGAGGGGTCTACCCTATGAATTTGAAATTTAGCATTCATCCCCTGTCTAGCTTCGCATCCTTTCCAAGCTTTCCTCCTCTATTACATTTCCCACATTCTCATCTCTTTCCTTTTCTTTGCTTCTCTGTTTTTCTTAGTCCTCTCCTCTCCTTTCCTCTCCTCCTCAGCAGTCAGTCCTTCATTGCACTGTGATGACCAGCTGGAGAGACCAGTGCTCACTCTTTTCATCTCGCATTTTTCTCTCTCCAGCTTCTCTCTCTGTACTTTGTACATCTCCACTCTTTGCATTTCTCTTTCCCCCGTTTCCATTTTAATTTGATTCCTCACTCTCTTGCCTTCCTTGTATCCCATCTCCTCTTCTCTCCACCAGTTTGTTGTTTCTTTATTTGTGTGTGCAAGGCCCAGAGTATATTCTAATCTCCCAGTTCCACATTAGTGCATTGCCTGAAGCACCTTCATTAGCTGTTCAACTGTGGCTGGCAGTGTGTGACTGTGAGTGTGTGTGTGTGTGTCTGTGAGTGTGTAGAGTTAAGTGTCTGAATATACATACTAAACTACTGCACACATAAATGTGTACACTTGGATGCATGCTTACATGTTGTGCAGATGTGAGTGTGTATGTGCACGATCATTCAAGGTTGTGTGGTGGATTATTCATCTCCTTCTCTCTCTCTCTCTCTCTCTCTCTTTTGATCAATGCGCTGCTGCCACCTGCTGTTTGACAAAATAACTACTCAGCCGGACCAAAGTCACGTAGGACACAAGCACAGCTCTAGTACCTCAGTGGATGAGCTCATCTCTAGTTTTGTGAGCATATCAAGTGCTCTCTCTCATTCTGTATTACAGAGAGGAATGAGGAAGAAAGAGAGAATCTATATTGGCTTAAATAGCTCACTGATGGTACTAGTTTCCTAGGATCATTTGCTAAGTTCATTAAATTTGTAAGAATTTGTCTTGTTTGCATGACTGCAAAGACATTTACACAGACAGTACAAGGACAGCTGGACCTTGCATTCTCTTCAGATTGCATCTAAATGCATTTAAACAAGGCACCTTTATGGGGTCTCTTTCCTACAAGTCATGCTACTGTAGGTGTCTCTTATGTAAACATCCATCACATGGTATGTGTTGCTTTCATAGAACACCACAGAAAGCACCTCCATTGCCTTTGAAATATCTTTGAATACATTTGTGTCTGAATGTAATTGATTTTTGTTGTAGGTCTAAATTTTCAGTTGTAGGCTGGATTAACTGCATCTGGTTATTGCTTTGCAGTGTGCTTTATAATACCAGTTGTAAAAGCACCATAAAGTGTATAATTATGTTGTATAATGTTTAATCTCTGCCTCCCCTGTCTGTGCTTTACATCTTCAGACAGCAGACGGCCTACCTGGCCACACAGGGCCCACTGGCCGAGACCACAGAAGACTTCTGGCGGATGTTATGGGAGCACAATTCCACCATCGTCGTCATGCTCACAAAACTACGAGAGATGGGACGGGTAATACACAGACACATTCTGTACTTATAATGATTGCATGCAGCACCTGTCAGGTCACTGGACCATTTCAGTCGGTGATAACAATCTTTATGCACTGAGCTGGATCAGCTGAGCTACTGTGTTATTTCATTCCAACCCAACTTCCTTATCACTGTGGAAGAACTGCATCTATGATAAAATATGCTCCTGTGCCAGATTTGTCAGTAATTGATTGCATTCAGAGCAGACTGGTAATTCACACTGCATGACCCCATTACACTTTATTAAAAGAGGATTCTCGTTTTGGAACAACAGGGCTTAGAGTTGAGTTTCAACTCACCTATAAACTTTATTGAGTTTAGGGTGGGGGGGGGTTACTGAGCATCATAACAAAATCAGGGAGTGAATCTTGAATATGGGAATTTAACATTCTGTGGAATACATTTATATTTATTTTTGCTGAGGGTTAGATGATAAAATCAATATCTCTCTCACATCTGTTGGTTAAGTAAAAGGCTGCAGCAGGAGGTGGTTAGCTTAGCTTAGCACAAAGACTTGAACCATGAAGTGAATCACCACGTTTCCTTCTCTTGTATCTTTTTGTTGCATCTTAGTCCCACCCATGTAAAATGCAATGAAAAGATGATCTATGAAATAACAGCTAGTCTGGTTCTGTCAGAAGCCACTTCCTAGATTCTAGCCACGGACCTCTGTTACATATCATCCACTCTCGCTCACTCTCCTGCTGTTTCCTGCCTGCCTCTTCACTGGCAACTGTCAAAAGGTGCTAATAGGCAGGTTGTTTTCACCTTATCACAGTCAGACTAGCAGTTTCCTTGTTTCTAGTCCAAGCTACAGTAACATAACCAGCTGTTGACTCCAGCTTCATGTTTAAACGACAGACAGGAGAGAGGTATAAATTATCTCATCTTACTCTCAGCAATTAAGTGTATCTCCCAAAACCTCAAACTATTCCCATATGGAAAAGCATCAGCACACTCCATTTTAAATTGAGATGCTTTTTGTGGTAATGCAGGTGATTCTGACAGCACTCAACTGTATTTTACTGCTTTTATCACCCTCTTATCCATAATCATAGTTTATGAAAAAAGCCGTCATTGCTGTAGTTAAGAACACAAACAAATTATGTAAATATTTTGTCACCTAAGATGAATCAGACGGTATTTCAAAACTACAGATTAGTCTATCTAGATGTTCTTTTATAAGCAGAGACCTTCTCGTGATTCAAAATGACTAATAAAATACAGTAGCCTGTACTAATAATATCCTGCACTTGTAAGCCAGGCAGTCATTATGTAGAAGTCTTTTTTCCTGAATGTGTTTGGAAAAGGATTCTTCAAATATAAGTGTGAAAATGTTTGCCTCCCTTTTCTTTTGTAGGAGAAGTGCCATCAGTACTGGCCAGCAGAGCGTTCAGCCAGGTACCAGTACTTTGTGGTGGATCCAATGGCTGAGTACAACATGCCCCAATACATCCTCCGAGAGTTCAAAGTCACAGATGCCAGGGTATGTTGAGTTTACTCTGTCTGTGTGAGTCTCTGTGAGTTTGCCCTTGTGTGTGTGTGTGTGTGTATTTGTGCACTGACATGTCTGTGTGTCGTGGCGGGAGGGGATGCGGATTGATTGGCATTTTACACAAATACACCCAAATCTATCTTAATTTTAGGTTTTCATACAAATGCTGACAGTCGCGCTAAGTGTTACGAATTATACCGGCTGTGATTTCAAGGTCGAGATGATCAGAATGCATCCTGTGTTATTTCTCTAGACAGGTTGACATCAAGTGGATGTGCCATCGAACGGATTTAGTAACAGTGTGCTTGCTCTTTGGATTGTGCATGTGGGTGTGTGTATTTGTGTGCTTGAGGATCTAACTATGTGCACATGTGTTAAGAGATCACGGTGAAAATATATGAAAAGCATAGCCTTCAATCCCTTAGGGTCAGTACTGGAACTCCCTGTGATGCAGTAGCTTCAGTGAGCTATAAATACAATTTACTGTCATCAGAAATCTCATAGCACAGCAGCTACCTAATCTCACATTCACTCCTTAATGCACACACGCACACACACACGCACACTGTATGTACGCACCGAAAGCGAGAGAGATTTGAAAATAGGCTCCTGATTTTTACCGAAAAAAATTATTACATACTGACACGACAGTGCTGTCAAACGTGTTGCTGTTCAGTGTTTGTCAGTCTTGATCTTTGGTGGTTTGCTCTCCTACCAGACTGTCAGCTTCAGTCATATCACATCCCAGGTGTAAACTGGATGATTAGATGGCTGCAGTGAAAAACAGCAGGGTTATTATACTTGTTGATCTCAACCTGAGAGACTCTGCTGTAGCATGTTTGGTTTTTGGTTGAGTGCGCAGCAGAGTGAAGCTCTGCAGAGAGAGGGTGTGAGCAGATGCAGCAACGTGGAACAGGGTGTTACTGTTATTTTTCAAGTGAACCCAGCTAAATTATACAGACAATTTTTCATAATTATTCATCTACCTTATGTTAATTTTTCACAGCATTGTCTCTATTAAATGTATTTCAACTCCTTATTTGCTGCTTCTCAGGATGGTCAGTCCAGAACAATCCGCCAATTCCAGTTCACTGATTGGCCTGAGCAAGGAGTGCCAAAAACTGGAGAAGGCTTCATTGATTTCATTGGACAAGTGCACAAAACCAAGGAACAGTTTGGACAGGACGGACCAATCACTGTACACTGCAGGTAAGGAGGAGAGATGACACAGATTAATGACAAGGTTAAGACAGATATGTGCACTCAACTCAACTCAACTTTATTTATATAGCGCTGTACCACACCTACAGCTGACCAAAGTGCTTAACATATCATACAAGTCAAAAATCATGACAGCATAACTAAAAATGAAAACAATAAAACATACACTATAGCACTACAGACAGAGTCTCAATCCTGGCCAAACGCCAATGAGTACAAATAGGTTTTCAAATAAGACTTAAAAATGGACAACGAGGGGGCTTGCCTAATATAAAGAGGCAAAGCATTCCACAAATTTGGACCCACCACAGCGAAAGCTCTATCCCCCCTAGTTTTCAGCCTGGCCCTCTGTGCCTCCAGAAGAAGCTGATCAGCTGATCTAAGGCACCGCGACGGATTATACGGACGTAAAAGTTCCACAAGATAAAATGGTGCAAGCCCTTTCAAGGACTTATAAACAAATAAAAGAATCTTAAAATGAACCCTAAAACGCACAGGAAGCCAGTGAAGAGGTGCCAGGACTGGGGTTATGTGGTCCACTAAGCATGGTTGCTGCTTCATACATGCTCATAAATGATGGCATTTCACCATTTAAAGCTGTTTCTAAGAATTACTCTCAGTTGCTAGTTTTTGCATGTCACATTTTTAATAAAACCTCATTAAAGTTCTGAAAAGTTTAGAACCCTTAGATGTAATGAATATTCCTGTCTGTGTGCCCCTCAGTGCTGGGGTGGGCAGGACCGGCGTCTTCATCACCCTCAGCATCGTGCTGGAGAGGATGAGGTACGAGGGCGTGGTTGACCTCTTCCAGACAGTGAAGACACTTCGCACCCAGCGGCCTGCAATGGTGCAGACTGAGGTAAAAACAGACTAATTGACAAGAATATTCTTCTTATTCTTGGGCTTAAAATCCAACAGTAACAGGGTGGTATTGCAAAATCAATGTAATATTTAAAGCTTTGTGGAGTGCTCTACTAAAACAAGGACTCAGAGACAAATCCTTCCTTATTAGAGGTTTTAGAGGTCATGGTGCGAATTCAAATGAGTTCACATTTTAAGATATAAAAGAATAGAAACCTATAAACACTCATTTTATTTGTCAACGTTGTTACTCATTTGAACGGATCATTTTGTCACAAATACGTCACCTAAATTTGGCATTTTGATAATGGACTTCTATTACGTGCAGTAAATTAGGTATTTACATGTAGTGAGTTTACCCGTGATTATTTGGCATTAAGCAGTGAAATGTCATAAAAGTTAGATCACAGAGACAAAAGTTCAGGACATAACCAGGATTTTTGTTGAAAACCTCCATGTCACCTGAACACCCTGAAACACAGAATGAAGATGTATCATGAGATGGCCATCCAAAATGTAGCTATAACCATAATGTTCCTGGCCATGCCTGTAGACTAGCTCACTGTCTTCCCATGTCTTCCCAGGACCAGTACCAGCTGTGCTACAGGGCAGCATTGGAGTACCTGGGGAGTTTTGACCACTATGCAACGTAACCACTCCCACCGAGCAGCCTCCCTGGTCAAACCTCTCAGGAGTGTGCCAAGTGTCCCATCTCAGCCACCATCCACTCACTTGACCCCCTTCAAATCCAACCCCTCACAGCTACCAGAGGGGAGGAAAAAGGGATGTGCTCACAGATCTGGCAACGGGTTCAACCAATCACAGAGATCCATGCCGACTTAATTAACCATGAGATTTTGCTTTAAAAACAACAATAGAGACAATATGACAACTATGACAAATATGACAGCTCTTGTACAGATGCGACAGTGCAGACTGGCAGCTCGCCTGTCTGCTCTGTTGAAGCCAAACCTTCCTGATTGTCAAAGGCTACTGGTAGCACAAAGAGAGCATTCTCTCTGTTGTTAAAGTTTTATTGTCAGTCTAATGTTGCATTATGTTAAATGTCATTGTTTAGTATACTTTTTAATGCTGTTAATAATCATTTTAACATCAGACTTTTCTTTTGTCTTAAACTGCCCAGCCACGGGTGTGCATTACTTTCGTATTCGGTACTTTCTTATTTTTATTTTAGGGTTCTTTAGCACAAGGGACATGTATTTTTAACATGTTCCTAGTTACTACGTCAGGAGGACCACTGTTCTCTGAGCTGCTGTCAAATTTGTGGTGTCACATGACATCATTGTTTTATTCATATTGTGTGTCATAAACATTGTTTTTGGTCTTACTCAGTTCAAGCCTTTTCACTTGCCGTTTACGATACAAATCTACAAATTGATTTTGGAGCACACACATGATAACAGTGTCCTTCTGTAAACATGGTAGCTAGCTAAACAACAAGTGAATTAGCTAACAAGAGACTAAATCAGAGGTGTACAGAAATGGAAAGCACATGATTTCTGTTTTTGTTTTGTTGCATTTGTTTTGTTTGTTTTTCATCAGAAGCCTATGGCATTGAGGCCTTCATACTCCACAGCGGAGAACACACCTGGCGAAAACAGACTTTTATACCCAAGGGGTTGTTGACAAGAAATTAAACTGCCTGATCTCAGAATATGGATGCTCTTCAAGTCCCTCCCATCTCTTCGCTGCCCAATAGCCTGGTCAGATTGCTGGAACTGGACCACACGCGCCAAAAGGAGCCGAAGTAGCTCGTATGGGCTGAGAGCAGCGCTGGCACCTGTACAGAATCAACCATTCCTACCAGAGGGGAAGAGACTCAGCCCTTTGGACTGAACCCTGATATTATTTTATACAGAAATAGAACTATAAATAT